CAGGGGGGATCGTCGCCGGGCGCATCTCCGACTACGCGGGCGGCAGGGCCACCACGTGCTGCGTGATGCTGGTCGTGGCCGCTCCCATGGTCAGTGGTCACGCTGGGAAAAGGGGAAAAAATCCGGTCACGAGGGTCCCCCCGGCGGCGCCTTTGAGTCACGGCCACCCCCCTCCTGCCCCGCAGCCGGGACGGGCGGGTCACGCGCTGCGCTGGGCTGGGAGGTGGGATTTGGGATGGAGCCAAACGTTCCCGGGGCGAGACTCTGGATCTGGGGGCTGGGAGGGGGGTTGTGGAATCCTTAACTCCTAAAAAATCCTCCTTCAGGGGTGGGGTTTATCTCCTCCAGCCTCCCAAAGCCTTGGAGCTCCTGCTGAGCTGCTCCAGCTTTCATCTCTGCTTTGCACCCCCAAAAACCCAGCGGAGCTCCTTTGGCTTTGGGGTTTGCTGGTTCTGGATCCTGACTCTCCCATGGGGTGGGGGGAAAATATTTGGGAAAACAGCTGGAAGAGCCACACTGGTTCGTTTGGTGTCTCTTTTCCAGCTGTTCCTCTACAACCACATCGGCCAGAACGGCATCGGCACGTCCATAGGTGAGGAGCTCCTTGGTGCAGGGACCACAGGAGACGTTGGGGGTTCACCTGCCTTTATCAGTCTCTCCCAGATTTGGGATTTGGGCTCTCCCAGATGGGATGATTTGGGTGGTGCTGGATGGTTTGGGTGGTGCTGGATGGTTTTTGGTGGTGCTTGATGGTTTGGGTGGTGCTGGATGAGCACCCAGCAGGTGGGATCTCCTGGGAAAGATGGATCTGTGGGACAAGGATGTCCCCAGGCGGGCTGGGGATGGTGGACCCGAGGTCCTCCTCCTCCCCACGCTTCACCATCCCATCTCTCCCCGGGTGCTGCAGCGATGCTGATCCTCTGTGGTGCTCTGGTCAACGGCCCCTACGCGCTCATCACCACCGCGGTTTCGGCAGATTTGGTAAGAGCCAAAATCACTCCTGGGGGTGAGGAGCTGGCCAGGAGCTGGAGATGGCCAAGTGTCTCCTGGCTGGAGAGAAGAAGGGTCCAGGGTCACCTTCTTGTGACCTTCCAGGACGTCACCCCCCTCCCGCCAGCCAAAGGCTGCTCCCTCTTTTCCAGAGGGATGTTGGTTGGGATTCTGGACCTTGGGGTCTCCAGCCTTGTTCATGCCTCGTTCTGCGAAGCCTCCTTTGAACTTGGCTTCTCCTCTTGCTTTCTCCCCTGGTTCCACTTTGATCCCTCAAGGGACAGTCAGAGAGGAAAAAATTCCTAGGAGACCACCTGGCATTGCTCCCTGCTCTTGGTGGTCCCCATTTGGGCTGCGGGCAACATCTGAACTTGGTCTTCCCATCCAAGGCTGGGTCCAGTCCATGGCACCAGGGATGTAGGTGGCCTCAGCCTGGGATTTCTCATTACCCTTTTCTCCTCTGTGCCTACAGGGAACCCACGAGTCCCTCAAAGGAAACTCCAAAGCCCTTTCTACGGTCACAGCCATCATTGATGGCACGGGATCTGTAGGTGCGTAGGGCTGGGAGATGCTGAGCACCCATGGGTGGGTCCTGGTGCCCCCACCCTCACCAAGAGGACATCTGACGTGGCTTCTGTGCCCTGGCAGGTGCTGCTCTTGGGCCGTTGCTCGCAGGGCTCATCTCCCCCACGGGCTGGAATAATGTCTTCTACATGTTGATAGCAGCTGACGTCTTGGCTTGTCTGGTAGGTCCCTCCCAGGATGGACTTGTTGTGCCCCAGCCCCGGCTGGAGGGCAGGTGAAGGACTTGGGGGTCCTGGGGGTGAGGAGCCAGCCAGGAGCTGGAGATGGCCAAGTGTCTCCTGCCTGAAGAGGAGAAGGCTCCAAGGAGACCTTCTTCTGACCTTCCAGGATTCAAGGGACCTGTCAGAAAGTTGGGGACAGTTCTGAGCAGGGCCTGGTGGGACAGGACAAGGGGGGATGGTTTGAAACTCAGAGAGGGAGATCTAGACTGGAGATGCTGAAGCGTGGTAAGGCCCTGGCCCAGGCTGCCCAGAGAGGTGGTTGATGCCCCATCTGTAGAGACATTTCAGATCAGGCTTGACTGGGCTCTGAGGAACCTGCCCTGGTTGCAGATGTCCCTGCTCCCTGCAGGGGTGTTGGACGAGATGACCTCTCAAGGTCCTTTCCCACCCAACCCAGTCTCATTCTGTGATATTCTGAGGTCCCCTTTAGCTGCCCGCTCACTGGTGGAGGGTGGGATGGCCACAGGGTGGACTGCAACGCCCCAAGTCAACTCCAAACCACCCCCTTGGCTTTCCCCAGCCACCTCCTCCAACAGCTGTAGCTCAGATGCTCTTCCCTAGGAAGAACCCCAACATCTCCCCCGAGGCTGGTGGCCCCAGGGCCACCTGCCCCACGAC